AATGATTTTGATTCTTTCAAAACTTTTGAACAACATTGGTAAATAAAACAACAATAACTAAGAAATTCAAGTAAAAGTTCTTTAAATATTGAAGGATTTGTTTTATTTTTTTCCATTTCATTATTCATTTGATATAACTCTTCATTTAAATTTTCGCTCCATGAAATAAATCCTTCACCAAACACTTCTTCTCTTTTTTTTTCTAATGTAAAGATTTCTGGATTTTTATTAGTACCATCTTCATTATATATTTCATCTAATTCCTTTTGGATTTGTTCAAAACAACATTCAAATGATTGAGCAAATACTTCTACTGCCTTACAATCAACAAATGCATTAGATAATTCTTTTTGAGTTTTAATAATGCCTGGTTCAAAAAATAATGTATTTAAATTAACTTTAGTTTTTAATGCATTTGGTGGTAATGTATTTCTACTTTGAAACACTCCAAATTCTCTTTTCCATAATTCTTTTAGAACAATATTAATTCTTCTATTTAATGGAATAAAGAAAATTGAATCATAAATTAAATCTTCTTCTTTGCGTTCTTTTTTTAAATTAACCAATTGAATTGCAATTTTTTTTACTGACTCAATATTTTCTAGTGAATTAAATTGGGAAATAATTCCATCACCAATTTCCTGTTGGACTAATCTTTTCCACTGTAATAAATTATCTTCTATATTATCTTTAAAATTAAGGAAATAATCATTTGTTTCTTTATAAGTACTGTTATATAATAATTGCATTTTCCCTTCATTATCTAAAGTAAAATATTTCCTTACAAATAAATATGTATCTAAAATATAATTGTAAATATCTGGTAAACAATTACTTGTTTTATCTTGTAACATCGATATAATAGAAACTCTTCTTTGTAATAAGAAAGCTTGAAGCACATCACTTAATCGTTGGTTAGTGTGTTTGACATAAACAACAAATGCCTCAATCACTTTATCTTCTTCTTTTTCAATCAACGAACTTCCAAATAATGTTTTAATAGTTTCAATAATATCTTTTTCTGTTGATAATATAACTCTCATTCTTTTACTGAGATATGAATTATATCTTTTATTTGTCATTAATATATCTTTTGTTTTCATAATTTCATTAAAAGTTATAGAAGCCCTTAAATATTCTTCATTTTGTAAATAATCTGAAACTGTTTCATGCACCATTAAAAATTCTAGAAATTGTTCTTTTAATGTTTTAGGAACTTCAACTTTCTTTTGTTCTTTAATAGGTTTTAATTTACCCATTGCTACACTTACAACATTCAATTGGTCAGAAAGAAAATGAGAAATCTTTGATAATTGAATAACACTTTCTGAAGTTCCTAATAAAATACTATAATTATCTCTATTTTATAAAGATTTTATTTAGAATAAAATAATAATACACAAACGATACTAATTGCTGTAACTGTTTATTTGTTTTTTCAAATTCTTCTTTTTTAATTTTTTGATCAGTTCTTAATGAATTCAATTCCATTCAAGTAAAACTGGTTTTTAAGATCATCTCATAAATTATTACAATTAATTCTTCTTTTCTATCTCAATCTTTCAAAAAAAAGATTTATTTCTTCTTAGAACTCGATGTTAAATGAGTTTTGGCATTTACCATATTAATAGTGGTAAGTAATAAAGTTTAAAACCTTTGTCAATATAACTATAACTTTATAATTTGAGTCAATAATTTTAAACTATTTTATTTCCTTAAATATGAATTGATCAGTAATTAATTAAATATGATAAATATGAGGTGTAGTTATTTTCTAATTGTCTAACGAAATTTGTTATTTTCTTTCTTGTATAGAAAAAGTAATACAGAAGGAAAAAAGAGATCAACTTCTTATTAACAAGAAATTTTAGCTATAAGTAAGGGTAAAGAAATGGTTATAAAAGTTTAATAAAGAAAGGTTTTGTTTATAAAGTCTTTGAAGAATTTAATTAATCTATAAGTTTAATTCTTTAATATAAATTTTCCTTTAATGACAGATGTAAAGAACTAAGAATGAACACTATATTTTAATTGAACAAACTAACTAAGAATTAATAAGATATTTGTTACTGTAACATTATGGTACACTTAAAGAAAATTATAGCACTAACCAAATGACTATGAGTAAGGTTTTTATACCTATGATTTAGATAAAAAAATATTAATTATTCTGAGAAACCTTTGAACTAGTTTAATA